TGGAGGGCACGGGTCTTGACATTGGCAATTCCCACAAATCTTCACACCATCTGATCCAGAGACACAACTGCAGCCATCGCCACAGGGAGGGTCGCACTCCACAGGGCCGCAGTCGCACTTCGTCAGTGGCACTCCCAGGGAGTTGAACTCAGGGATGCAATCGCAACCCTGTGGACAGCCACCCTGTGGGCACTGGCAGTCCACGCACACCGCCTCCCCGCTCTCCGGGTCCGCCACGCAGGCGCATTGCTCGGGACAGGGTTCCCCACATTTGCACTCGCATGTCGTCCCAGCGCCGGGATCTTCGGTGTTCAGGAACACGCACTGGCAGCCGGTGCCGCACTTGGTGTCACACTGTGGTTCAAAACCTGAGCAGTCGCAAAATGTCGATTCCCTTCCCTGGGAGTTGCTTATCGGGGTGCAGGTGCACAACTCAGAGCAGCCCTCGCAGGTGCAGACGCATTTCGCGTTGCCATCGGCGTCTGGACCGCAGGTGCACGCATCTGATGGGCAGGGTGCCTCGCATGTGCAGCTGCACGTTGTTCCTGCACTGGGATTGGACTCGTCCAGGAAAATGCATTCGCAGCCACTGCCACAGCCACCCTCACAGACAGCGGTGACACCAGAGCAGTCACAGGTAGCTCCACCGTCGACTGATGGGATGCACTCGCATTCGGACGGACAGTTGGGGCACGTGCATGTGCATTCTGCATCCCCATTGGCTCCTGGCTCACATGTGCACGCCTCTGGTGGGCAAGGCCCATCGCAAATGCAGTCCCCACAAGTTGTCCCAGCACTTGGATCATTAGGTCTCAGAAAGGCGCATGAACAACCCCGCCCACACCCAGATTCACAGGCCGGCTCGACTCCCGAGCAATCGCAAGTCGGAGCCCCGCCACCAAACGAACTGGTGGGTGGCACACATTCGCATTCGCCTGGGCAGCCATCACAGGTGCACTTGCATTCCGCATCCCCACTAGAGCCTGGCCCACATGTACACACGTCTGTTGGGCACGCTCCATCGCAAATGCAGTCCCCACAAGTTGTCCCGGCACTTGGGTCATCAGGGTTCAAAAAGATGCATGAACACCCCCGCCCGCACCCAGATTCACAGACCGGCTCGACTCCCGAGCAGTCACAAGTCGGAGCCCCGCCGCCAAACGAACTGGTGGGTGGCACACATTCGCATTCGCCTGGGCAGCCAGCACAGATGCATGTGCATTCCGCATCTCCACTAGAGCCTGGCCCACATGTACACGCGTCTGTCGGGCATGCCCCGTCGCAAATGCAGTCCCCGCAAGTTGTCCCGGCACTTGGGTCATCAGGGTTCAAAAAGATGCATGAACACCCCCGCCCGCACCCAGATTCACAGACCGGCTCGACTCCCGAGCAGTCACAAGTCGGAGCCCCGCCGCCAAACGAACTGGTGGGTGGCACACATTCGCATTCGCCTGGGCAGCCAGCACAGATGCATGTGCATTCCGCATCCCCACTAGAGCCTGGCCCACATGTACACGCGTCTGTCGGGCACGCCCCGTCGCAAATGCAGTCCCCACAAGTTGTCCCGGCACTTGGGTCATCAGGGTTCAAAAAGATGCATGTGCACCCCTGCCCACACCCAGGTTCACAGACCGGCTCCACTCCCGAGCAGTCGCAAGTAGGAGCACCATCACCAAATGAACTGGCAGGTGGCACACACTCGCATTCGCCTGGGCAGCCATCACAGGTGCATGTGCATTCCGCATCCCCACTAGAGCCTGGCCCACATGTACACGCGTCTGTCGGGCATGCCCCATCGCAAAAGCAGTCCCCGCAAGTTGTCCCAGCACCTGGGTTGCCAGGGTTCAGAAATATGCATGAGCACCCCTGCCCACACCCAGGGTCGCAGACTGGCTCCAAATCTGGACACACGCACTCCACCTGCTCCTGACCCAGCGCATTGAAAATCGGGTTGCACCTGCATCCCTCCCCGTCACATAACTCACACCTGCGTGGACAAATTCGCAAATGAGCCGCAGACCAAAGGCTGTCCATGCAGATGCATGTGACCCCATTGCCAAGGAAATCATTTCGTGTCATGAAAAGCCAGGGATTGCTTTCGCAATAATGGAAATTCAGGTCAAAGAATGTACTCCAAGTCATGCGAGTCCAGGAACACATATCAAATGATGGTAATTCCGGGCCTGGGAATGCCTTTCCACTCATGAAAAGACACTCTGGTCAAGGAAAGCACTTCCAGTGATGGAAACTCCAGAAAAGAAATGCTGTTGAAGCTACAGAAATCCAAGTCAAGGAATGCATTTCGAGTTGTGGAATAGCAGAGTTAATGAAAAACCAGTCAAGGCATGCACTTCAAGTCATGAAAGCTCCAGTCAAGAAATGCATTTGGCATCAAGCAGAATTCAAATCAAGGAATGAACAAGGAATGAACACAAGGAATGAAGGAATCACACATCAAGGAATGAATTTCTGGTCACGGAAAATCCTCAGTCAGCAATCCATTTGAGTAATGGAAACCTCCAGTCAAGGAATGCATTTCTAGAAATGAAGAACTCCAGTCAAGGAATGCACTTTACATCATGCAAAAACTCGAGTCAAAACATGGATTTCGTCATGGAAATTCCAAGTCAAGGAATCCATTGCGAGCCATGCCAAACTCCAGTAAGGGAGCGCATTTTCGGCCACGCAAAACTTGAGGCAAGGGATACTCCCTCGCTCACCTGCATGTGCACGCCGCGTCGCCGCGCTCGTCCGGCCCGCACGAGCATGGCCCCGCTGGGCACGGCGCCTCGCACGTGCACTCGCATCGACCGCCTCCCCGCTCCGCGAACACACACTCGCAGCCAGCGCCGCATCCCCCAGGGCAACTCGGTGGCGCCGTGATGCCAAAGCTGGAATCAGGCGGCTCAACCGGGTCGGGAGTCGAGGGGGTGGTGGCCGTGGAGGCGGGAGGCCCGGAGGAGCGGGAGGGTGTGGAGGGGCCAAATCTAGGCGGGGTTGGGGGAGGGGAGGAGGGCGGATCTGGCGCCGGGGGGCCGCTCGTCGTCCCCGGGGAGAACACCGGCGTCGAGCGCCGCCGATCGGTCCCTCCCTCGCCGCCTCCGGTGCCAGAATCTTCGGGCGGGGGATCCTCGACGGTGGGCGCGGGGGCGGGGGGCGGGGTGGGGGCCTCCTCTGGCGGCTCGGTGGGGGGGGGCGGGGTGGGCTGGGGCGCCGGGGTGGGCGGGTCCTGGCCGGTGGCGGCATGCATGTGCGAGGCCGCCAGCAAGGCGACAATCAGGGCCGTGAGCATGCATGCATGCATGTTGGCAGCGCTGACCCGCCGTGGGGGGGCATGCATGTTGACCGCGTTGACCACCGTGCTGGCCGCGTGAACCGGCCGGGGCGGCGGGGTGTGGTGGGGTTGGGGGAGGAGGGGGAGGTGACCCTGGTGGCCCCGCTTTGGCGCAGGCGGGGAGGCTCTCGCGCGGAAGTGTGGGTTGGGGGCCCGGAGAGAATTTCCTGGGGAAGTTCCGAGGTTTGGTAGGGCAGCGCGTAAAGTACTGTGCATAGTTGTGTGCCCCTGCCTAAAGTTCTGTGCCGTTGGGTGGGGGCATGTACTGGGGCGGTGTGCCCCGACCCGGCTTTGTCATGCTGTCGACACGTTAGACCTTCGGACGCCAGTGTAGGGAGTCGTACCGAATTTCGGTGGGAAGCTCGGAGTTTGGGGTAGTGGACGTCTAAAGGACTGTCCAGTGCCAGCGCTGCATAGTGGACTGGAACACAGTGGAAGCCATGGCACATGAAGTCCAGTAACACCCTTTCATGCAAAATGTCGTTAGTGGATATTACACAAGTGTAGAAATGGTAATGTTGTGCAACTTCAAAACATGTTTTTCTTTGATCTTTATTATGTTTATTGTATTATGGGTCGATTGCACATATTGAACATAATGGTTTTTATTACAATTTGCTTGGAAATCAAGATGTTGCACACTAATTATGTTATTGGCTCACTAACGACATTTTGCACGAAAGGCTGCTCAGTGCTGCATGCTATAGAACGTGCTGGAGGCTGGCGGATACAGCGAGTGACCGGCGTCATGAGGAAGCTGCGGAATGGCGATTACGTCATTCCGTTGGTCGTGATGGCACCACGTGGGCACTCTTGGGTCCGTGTCAATGGCAATTTTCGGTGCAGCGGATGCATGGATGAGGAGATTCTGGAATAGGATCTTTCGAGACCAAGTTGATTCGTCTCGAGTAGCCCTGTGGCTGGCTGCCAGCCCTGTTTCTGTACTTTACTCAGTACTTTACAGTAGTTCGTTGTACGATAGTTGAAAAGGTGCACCTGTGGCGCACAGGTTGGCGCAACGAAGGCCTGCCTTGGGGCCCAGATTCATCGGCTTCGATGTCGACTTGTGGTGTCGTCAATGGCAAAAGTGGTTGGGGCATGTGAGAAGCGCTGTGGTCTTGCGGAACAATGCGTTGGGTGAGCTGAAAGTAGTGGCATCGCTCAGCTAGAGGCCAGGCGGGACACATGCTTGAATGTACAATGGATACGCTGCGGCCCACTGCGACTTGTTCAAACTTGATTTACTGATCCATTTGTCGCCTTCTCTTTTACCAGGATGTTTGTTATTGCTGCTCGTCTTGTTGCATGAATGGATGCAACAATGCCAGCACCAACAGCAAACACATTAGTACTGAAGCAATTTATAACGCCGCTTTGGTATATAAAGCGTGACCCGGTGTTCAGGGCTTGCCGCGGTCCGGTTCTAGCATCTTTTGTGGTCGCTGCCACTTCCCAACAGGCGACGGTCTTTAAGCAACACAATGCATCTTAAATCAACAGCACGCAAATTGCATAAAGTGCACTCGAACAGCTGAGGAGCAGAAGATACCCCTTTGTTAGGATCGGCATGCTTAGGCTCTGGCAGAGATATCCGACGCAAAACAAAAGTATCTAAAATGCGCATCCGACGCTCTTAAAGGCATCTGGCATTCAGCGCCAGCCTGCCCTAGCGCCCGGAAAACCCCACGGAAGTGTGTGTGGCGTTGGCGGTGGCACTACCGTCCGCGGCGCTGGCGCTGCCCCTTCCAGTGGCGCCTCCCCTCCTAAGGCCTCCGGTGCGCGTGTCCGCGACGGCGGAGGCAACCGCCCACTCGCCTTCCGCGTGTCCGCTCGAGCTGCCTTTGCCGCCCGTCTCTGTCACCTCGAACGTCGACGACCCCTTGGCAGAAGCCGCCTCTCCCCCGACGTCCGCCTTTGCCGCAGAATCGCCGGAAGCGACAGAGCCGTCGCCTGCGAACACGCCGGCTCCACCTATCGCGTTGGCGTCCGCTTTGCCGCCAGCACCCGATACTGCCGTCGCGTTGGCCTCGTGCCTCGCCGTGGCCACCCCACTGGACGGGGAGCCCCTCCCTACGGCAAAGGTGCTCGTACCAGCGCCAACGTCGGCGTTGGACTGCCCGCCCTCGCCAGAAACAGCAACCGCTGTGCCGGAGTAAGTGGCATTGGACCTCTCCGTGCCAAAAGCCTGGGACGTTCCCCCAACCGACGCGTTGGCCGTCCCCCCCTCCCCCGCGACCGCAGTGGCGTCTCCCGAGGTCGTCGCATCAGACCCGACCAAGGTGTTGGAGCTGCCAGTGGGGCCCCCGGCGGCCTTTGACCGGGCGTCTGTATTGGCAACGGCGTCTCCTCCCTCTGCTCCGGACTTGGCTGTCGTGCTGCCGGTAGTGTTGGCGCTGGATTCCCTCCCCGTGAACGCGTTGCTCGCGACGTTGACGGTCGCAGTTGCGTTCCCCGTGGGAGTGTTGCTCGAATCTGCTGTTGCCTCGCCACTGGCGGTGGTGACGGACTTGGATCTGAAATCTCCACGAGAGTCGGCCGTTGAATTCGCCTCGGCGACCGCATTTCCGTCCACGCTTTCGTCGAAGACGTCGACGGTGGCGGACCCGCTGCCTCCGGAAACCAGGGCTTCGGCCAAGCCGTCGGCGCTGGCCGTGGCTACGGAGGCAGTTGCCGTCGTGTTAGTGCCAAGAGGCGTGCAGGGCCGAGCGGTAGCGACGACGGGGCAGAGGGTTGCTTAAAACACCGGTTCCCGTCAAGGGGCGGTGCAGTGTGAGGCATGCATCTGTGTGATCCACTGAAATCCATTCCAGTCCATTCTAATCCATTCTAATCCATTCTAATGGATTCAACGACAACATGCAGTTGAGAAAAGTGTGGTTTCTAGGGTATGGGGACCAGTTTTTTTCTGAGCGCGGCGTCGCATTTGACACTTGACCTCGTTTCCGTGATGTAAATTGGCTTGCTGAAATGGCGACATTTAATTTCGAACACAGGAAGTGGTTCCCGCCTGCAGGCTCACATAGCTGTATGAGGCTGTGGTCCTGCTCTCCCCGCACTAGCTTCCCGTGCGTTTTGGATCTGCATTTCTCTGCCATTGGGGGCATCCGCTTGCAGCGATTGTGCTTTCATTCGCATAGGGCCAGTCATCTGGGGGAATCCTGATGGGGTTGCTTGATATTCCAAATAAGGCTGTCCGAAAATCGATGCCATTACCTCAATCTTATGAGAAATATTGTCTTCGCAGATTGGTTTGCTGCATGGGTGCAGAAGTTGGACATCAAGCGATGCAACAGTCCCGAGCACTTAGTAATTGTTACAGGTGCAAGCTGGTGCCGATCCTGACCCCGTGCCATGGCATCCATTCCAGGTGCAGGCTGTGCAATTACCAGGAGGACAGGCACAGTATACGTACTGCGCTGTACCTGTGCTTCGGACTACGGACTATGTTGCACTACACCCATTCTTCTCAATCCGTACGCAACGTAGTATATGCAGCAACTTAAACAAAAAAGCGCTGCAAAGGTCAACAGCGCCAAGCGAAATTGCCCAAAACGGGATGTACAATTCATCATTCAATACGGCATGATGTTATTCAAGAGACAGAGCACCCGAAGGGGGATGTCACCTTCCATCAAAGCCCTTCCATCTCCAACTGCGCACATCGCCACAGCCAAGAGGCCCCAGAGGGCCATAGACGCCATTACCGACATGTCTCTGCATGCACGGGAAGACATCGAATTGTCAAGCTCGAGGAGAGAAGGCGAGAACGCTGGAAGAATAGCAACACTATTCTTGTCTCACAACTTAGAGAGCATGTTTCGGGAACAGCGGCGTGAGGATGGGGACTTTGCTGCCTCTTCTGCCCACACTTTGCACCTGGATCCTGCCCGAAATTTTCAAAGCGCTGTCGGCGTCCATAAAATAGTAAGGTCGCCGAGGCCAGGATGGCGCCGCGGAACATCGCAAAAGTATGTTTGGCCAACGCCGCCCCGGCCGCGTCAGCCGATATAAACATAGGAACAGCGGACTCGGTACATGCCGTTTTCTACCATATACGTCTCGCTTCACTGGCTGAGCGGCCGGCCACCGTCACACCCCCGTCGGTCTCAGAATGCCATCAGGCACGTCACTAGTCAAATGATGTTCGTCGAATCACGGCCGAATCATGACAGACAATCGGGCAAGCAGGAGGCTTGCACTGAAACCCGCCTCCTCCGATGGTAGAGTGGGCATGGCGCATCCGCAGGGCACCCAGAAGGTGGGGGAGGAGAGGGGAATGGTTGGGGGGCGGGGGGGAAGACGGGCCAAGATTGAACCAGCGCTTCGGGATGCCCTCCTTTCCGGGGCGAACGCCATCCCTCCAGGAGCCGCCGCCCACCCGCCGAACGCAACAGCCGCCCAATGACAAAACGGAGGCGCCGAGCGTCGGCGAGAAGCGGCCTCGCTCCGCTCAACCGCGGTCCTGTGCCGCGATGACGCCGTGGTTCCTCGGCCACGCGTTCGGTGCATTCAAGCCCGCCGTCAATGCATCCCCGTCATCCGTGCGTCCTCGCGCATCGGATCCCCCCCCACCCCCACCCCACCCCCCTCCCCGCCAACGCTGCCTCTCTCCAATGGCCGAATCGGCAATCCGATCCGATCCACTTTCGGCATTCCGCTTCGGCGGGGCAAGGGGCGCCCTCAGCCCTTCCCTCCCCCCCGGCCCCCGGGGCAGGTTGGGGAGAGATGACGTCGTACGAGCTGTCCGCATGCGAAGATCGGCTCGCGAAGCAACGGTTAACGCTTGGCCAGCAAACGCCGATCTACTCATTTTGCGCTGTCCCCATCAAGCGTCCTTGCGCCGAGCGTCCTTGCCCCGATTATCCATGCACGAGGCCGCCGACCCGCCGATGGCGTCTGGGTATCTTTGCCTCGGGCTTGAAGTGCATGAGGCAGACAACACGGAAACGCTCACCTAGCACTGACCTGCCGAGTACTGTTGCGGCAGGCGTCCCTGCGCCACCGAGCGTCCTTGCAGCGACGCGCACCTCGGACAGCTCGGGTGGACTAGACTCGTCGTGCGCCGGCGAGGATGCAGACCTCTTGAGGGAGGCTCGATTTGGCCGCGGGCTTTTGTACCAAAGGCCTGGAGGCCGCGTGTCGACCCAGGCGGACCCTCCGCACCGACATGAGGACCACCCGGCGGAGCTCAGGTGGATGGGGCGCTTGGCGTCGTACAAATGCGCCCAATGAAGCGAAGCGATGCTGCCGATCATGAGAGCGTCCGTAAGGCAGGCGGCGGCCCGTACGGCTGGGAACGGCTGGGAGCATTGAAGCGGCTGGCATCGGCCTTGATAGTTTGACGCATATCATCCGGCGCTGGGATGGCCTCTCTCCCGGCTAGTGTTTGATCCGCAGGCCCCTCGCACCGCTGGAGGGCGCTGTGCGGCAGCGGGTCCAATCAAGAGATTGTTCGGAAGGGATGGGAGCGCGGGCCGTACGGCTTGGGATGGAGCGTGAGAACGACGGGATCGGATTCGATGATTTGGCGCGTCTCAAACGACGTTGGGATGGTTCCCCGCCGCCTGGCTCATGTTTGATCTGGAGGCTCCCCGCGCGGCACAAGGACGGGCATCCAATTACTGGCTGCACCGAATCGGTGAGTTTCTGCATTAAATCGGTAACTGCTTGCGCCAATTCCTTCCAAAACTTACCTAACCTAAACCTAAGCCCTCAACCCTACAACTAAACCTGCCCTAAACCTAAACCTAAAACTCACCCTAAAACTAAACCTAACTCCAAACTAAACTAAACTAACTGAGGTTAGGACACAGTGTGCACGTGATTTGGTGCAAGCAGTCACCGATTTGGTGCAGGCAGTAATATTATTTCCACAAGGACGTCGGGCGAGAAGCGCGGCACGAAAAGCCTCCCAAGGCAGGGGAACGTGCTGACGCGCGGACGCCTGTGCGTGTGCTGGGTGCAGCGGTGCACGCCGTGCGTGCATGCGGACCGCGATGCAAGGACCCACCCCCGTGGTCAAAGTGCGCGGAGGGGTGCGCAGCGAGCCGCGCGGGGTGGGGCGGCAGGGGGAGGATCGGAGGCGGCGAGGTCGAGGGAGGTGGCGGGCTGTGCAGCTGCAAATGACCAATATAGGCAGCGGCTCGGACCAAATTGTCGGGCGCATGCCAACCACCCAGCGGCTCATCGCCAGCGGCCAGGCATCCGATTCTAGAGTCGGATGCCACATAGAGTGTGGTGTCTAGAGGCTCTGATCTCCGTTCGACCGCTCGCCTGGGTAGGCGATGGACGAGCACGCGTCTGCATGTCGTGGGAGCACCGCTGGCATCCCCCCCGTCGCGATCGCCCTGGTGATATCCTTGCGCCGTGCGGTCTGCCGCATGGCCGTTTGCCGGGAAGCACCGGGAAGGGAACTCTCCGGAGGCAGGCACGGAACCTTGCAGGTGGCGCCGTGCTGTTTCTGCCCCCCCGTGGCGGAGCTCCCCCAGCCGCCGCCCAGCCGATCGAAGGGCTGCACGGCGGGCGAGATGCAATCAGTGAGTCCCGCGGCCAGTGTCGGCCACGTTGGCATTGTGTGCTCGCCTTTATCGAACAGGCGAGGTGCGCTCACTCTGAGATCACGCGAACGGTGCCCAATGCGGAAACATCCCGTAAAGCGCGCGTAACACGAGCCGTAGCGCCCACGCAACACACACCGTAACGCACGTGGCGCATCCCGCAACGCGTGTAACTCAGCCTGTAAAGAGCGTGGCGCATTACATGACACGCGGATGTTGCGCTCGGGGAGACCAGGGAAGACGGAAAATGGCGCAGCGGGGTGACGCCCGATGGTGACGTCACGGGGGGCAAGCTGGGTGGTGTGATGAGCCTCGGGGCCCTTTAGGCCTCAATTTTGAGGAGCGCCATGCGAAAAGCGCCGTATCGTACGTGAGACGACATGGTATGTGCACGATACGATGCACAGTGTGCATACAAGTACAGTGCGCATCCCATGATTGTCTCATACAAGGGTTCAGGGATGCCAGATGGACAGAGGATCCAATCGCCGATTAGCGGGCTTGTTTTTTACGTTTGTCAGGTCTTCTTTCATCAGGCCGAATAGTGACATCTCCGTAATGTTTGCTTTGGTACCAGGCTTGGTATCTATGGTGTAAACGCTGAGCATTTACGCCTATTTACGTGTATAAAATATTTACGTTCTTACGCATAAACACATTTTGAAGTACGTAAATTTTGGCTCGATGCACGTAAGACACTACGCACAGACTCAAGGAGTCCGGGGCGTGACAATTTACGGCGTAAACGCTGAGCATTTACGCGTACTTACGTGTACTTATGTGTATAAAATGTTTACGTTCTTACAAATAAACACATTCTAAGGTACGTAAAATTTGGTTCGATGCACATAAGACAGTACGCACAGACTCAAGGAGTCCGGGGCGTGACAATCAGATGCGCTGAAGCAAATGTAAATGTCAAGCCTTGTCGGTATGGAAGTACATTTTCTCTAATCCTGTGATTCTGAAGTACACGGGGCTGTGCAAGAAGGAACAAGACATAGTACGCGCTTATCCCACGTGCCACGACACAACGCATTGTGCCGCTTCTATGTATATATTCATGTGCAGTGCATTCTTGTAATGCACAGCATGAAA